CCTCTCCTCTCTCTCCTCTCCTCTCTCTCCTCTCTCTCCTCTCCTCTCCTCTCTCTCTCGTCTCTCTCTCCCTCTCTCCTCTCGTCTCTCTCTCCCTCTCTCCTCTCGTCTCTCTCTCCCTCTCTCCTCTCGTCTCTCTCTCCTCTCCCTCTCTCCTCTCGTCTCTCTCTCCTCTCTCTCCTCTCCCTCTCTCCTCTCCCTCTCTCCTCTCCCTCTCTCTCCTCTCCCTCTCTCCTTCTCCCTCGCCTCCTCTCGCTTCCCTCTCTCTCCTTCCCTCTCTGTCCCTCTCTCTCCTTCTCTTCCCTTCTTCTCCTCTCTCTTTCCCTCTCTCTCCCTCTCTTCCTTCTCTCCTCTCTCTCACCTCTCTCTCCTCTCTCTTCCCTCTCTCTCCCTCTCTTCCCTCTCTCTCCTCTCTGCTTCCCTCTCTCTCCTCTCTCTCTCTCCTCCCTCTCTCCTCTCTTCCTCCCTTCTCTCTCCTCTCCTCTTCTCTCTCTCGCTCTCCTCTTCTCTTCTCTCTCCTCTTCCTCTCTTTCCCCTTCCTCCTCTCCTCTCCCTCTTCCTCTCTCTCTCTCCTCTTCTCTCCTCTTTCCTCTCCCTTTTCCTCTCCCTCGTTCCTCTCTCTCCTCTCCCTCTTTCCTCTCTCTCCTCTCCCTCTTTCCTCTCTCTCCTCTCCTTCTTTCCTCTCTCTTCTCTCCCTCTTTCCTCTCTCTCTTTCCTCTCTCTTTCCTCTCTCTCCTCTCCCTCTTTCCTCTCTTTCCTCTCCCTCTTTCCTCTCTCTCTTTCCTCTCTCTCTCCTCTCCCTCTCTCTCTTCCAGGGATGTAGGTCACGAGGTTGGAGATATAAACAATTAAAGAGTTTGCCAAGGTTTCGGAATCTTTTATTTTGTTCGTCAGGGCTAGTGTTAAAAAACAAAGCAAAGCCGTTCCGGATGGCCGAGATCGCTAAGGCAGTACTGCCTTAGCGACCTCGGACCGAAGGGTCGCGGGTTCGAGTCCCGCCTCGGGCATGGTTGCATTATCTTCCTCTTTTCACCGTACATCATCATCATCATCACATCGTGTCATCCTCATAGTTACCACACTGTTACAAGCAATAGTGGTCGCTAATAACCTAGTAGTTGATGCGATCCACAATTTAAAAAGGAAAAACAAGCACGAAGACATCAATATGAAATTACACTCACCTTACTAATAAATTTTACAGTGAAGCCACATATCCAAACTCCATGTGGAGTTGAGTTGCAGTTTGGATGTGATGCTTCATTGTAAAATTTATTAGTAAGATGTGTACAATTTTATATCTCTACTGTTTTTGTTTGTTTAGTATATCATATTATTGGGGATGTAATTTCACATTGATGTCTTCATGCATTTTTTATATTTGTACACTAGCCCTGGCGATAGAATTAATATAACTGGACGTTGACAAACTGATGGTATGATAGTTCTTATTTCCACCAATCCCGTGAATTACAACCCTTGTTTCGTGATTATCGTGAACTATACTATGGTTATTTTTGTTTACTTTCTCGCTACGGAGTAGAGAGTTATGTAATGCTGCGTGGAAAACTGCAAATTTTCAAGGGTTACCCCCGTGAAAATTTTGAAAGGGGTCCCCTGGCCCATAATAAATGTTTTTATTTCCGATAATGTGGGAAAAACCCGAATTTTCTCCACTTTTAACATGACAACCCATTTAGCAACCTGTAAATGGTTCAATGTAAAATCGATGTGAAGACTGTTTTTGGTAAAATATTTAATTCCCTTTTGCAGTGTTATACAAGCATAATTCATTTGTTGCTCTTGAGCATTGTACGTGCTACTTTTTGAAAAACTTTTGTGTGATTTAGTTCATCAGCATTTTTGCTGCTGTAGCTATTACTATAATACTAATACTAGTTGAATTGTAAAATTTGTTAATATTTTTTTTTTATTAACAGCAGTATTTCTGACAAATCACTTTTTTCTGTCACAGGTGCGGGAAGCACTGTTGCGCCGGCACAGGCATCAACATGAAAGGCGCAAGGAGAGCAGTAATAATATGTCTCGCTTGCCAATTATTCGGTCACTTGCTGAAATTGGCCGCAATCATTCCTCTTCCAAAAGTAAGTAGAATTTTTTATCATTACAATCTGAAAGGACAAATGTTTATCCATGGAAGTCAATTGTGTATAAATGTAATTTTCATGGTGTTATTCAATTGAGTTCTGCTATCTCATATTTCTATTGTTTCTGGTTGTTTTTAAACAAAAATGTTGTTCCTGTTGACTTTTTCAGTGGTATTATGAAGATATTGAAGTATCACGTGTTGGTATAATTTAATTTTCATTTATGTTGAAATAGAACAAAACTTTATTGTTTAAGACTCAATTACAAAACTTCCTTGTCTTGAGAATTTTTAATAGAGGTGTGTGTTTTTTAACTGTATGGAGTATAGAAGTGCGTAAGTTGAGTTACCATTAATTTCTTGTGAGTTAAATCTATTATTTATCTTTTATTACTTATTAAGTTCAGTGTAGTGTTGTAAAATGTATGAAAGAGGGCTTTAAAGTATCTTATTTATCACAAATGACTTAAAATGTATATCTTTAAAAAAGTTAAAAACTTTAATGTCCCACAAATACAGGAAAATTTATTCGAAAGTCTTCTCAGCAAATTAGTTATATGATAGAATTGGTTACTAATTAATAAATGGTTAGTTTAACTACATTTTGTGTTGAATATTTGTACAACAATTATTTATAAAATTATGTCATTAATGAGGGTGTTTGTGAAGTCGTAGGCATAATTATTCCCTCTTTTTTTAAGCTGGTGTGAGCATCTACTTTTTCCTCATGTGAAACTGCTTTGTTTGTCATATTCAGATAAAATTTTGAAAATCTTATCTTTTCCTCATCTTGGATTTGTTTGCATAATTTTTTAGCATACAGGAAAACTTTAGAAATATTATTGATATTTTATTGTAATATGTAGGCTGCAGAGGGGACCTGCTGAAAGTGTTGATTGTTGTGTCAGATTTTCCTCAGGATGGGCAGAAGTCCCCACAACAAGTATGTCGCAGTTCAAGTTGTCCTACATCTGAGACTGCCCTGCTTGTGGTCCAAGACCATAAGGGTCCGTACCTAGCAGTGCCAGGTACAACTACAGACCTTGTTATCAGGCCCTGTAGTTGCTGGACAACCACTGTAGTACAACATTCCTCAACTTTCATTAACCCCAGTTTTTGTAGTTTTTGTCTATGAGCTCTCTTGTTAGTCTACAGCAGCACTGCAGTATTTAGACTAAACCATGTATTTTAGTGGTAACATAAAGATGGTAACTATTTCTATAGCTGAATAATCCTGTATTGCAGAACACAGCAACTTTCTTTCATTGCGGCTGGTCATTTGAAAACTAACAAGATTAATAGTATATTAGTGACATTTTTTATTTTATAACAATTTTTTTTTAATTGTACATTTTTTCTTTATAAATGAAATCTAAAAGCTGAATGCCTAAATTTAAAGTAGTATTAACATTCAACTTGCAACAATTTAATTTGATGAATGCTAGTCTATTTTTGCTGACTATAAAATAATATAAAATTCTTTTCAAATGGTATGTGTGGTTACCATATCTTTCGTAACTGCTCAAATATTGAAAGCACATCTCTGACCTTCTTTCTGGTCTCATTTTGAGATTAAGAAAAATATCAAATAAAATCTGTAACAGTTCCTGTGTTCTGAGTGACCATTTGTAATACAGAGCAGTTACCCACTTTCCTGTAATATCTGGTTGTGTGGTTTCCTCAGCTGACGTCTTCCCTCATCATGTGGTGGGATTCACTACCTGGTTTGCAATGTGCCAAGTTGCACAAGGTTTGGGACAATTTCTTTCTTTGGTATCTCTTCTTTTTTTTTTTTGATTTTGATGGTTCTCAGGTGTTGCACTTGAGTGTACAGGTTATACATAATAGTCAGTGGTGTTCACATGCCTCTAATGAATGTTTGACCTGCTCCTGCTCTCTTTCTCTTGCTGTGGATGTTTAATCATTGAATGTATTTATTCCTTGGAATCATTTCTACAATGTTCACCTCCAAACTTTCAAAGAGTGTGCAGTGAAACAGCATTCCAACTGCAAATATGGTAATTCTGTATTTGCTATTTATGTAGAAAAAATATTTGTGTAAAATTTATTTAAAAAATTGAATTATAAACCCTAAAGGACAAAACAAAAAGTAATACAAAACAGTCTAATATAGTTCACTTCATTTTAGTGTTCAGTGTTGCATATTGGTGTTGTGTGTCCATGACCACATATTCATCCAATGACAGCTTTACATAATCTGTAACATTTCTTTTTTCAAAGTCTCATGTGTGTAAATTATAAATTTTGATACTGATGTAAATTTCTGTTTTTATCATTTTTATTTTGGCCTATGTGTTTGTAAATTTTGAGCATTTTTATTTAATTTTGCGTCATTTGCAATATTATTGGAAATTCTTTTGAAAAACAAATTATAAATTCAATTTTTAGGTGCTTGTACATTGTTTTCACTTGTGCAATTGTAGTTTCACTGCACTATGATTTTCATTTTTTTCATGTGATTTGCTTTCATTCATCCTTGTATTGTAGTAATATTTTTTTAGGTTGTTCTTATTGTAGCAGATCTAATATTGAACAACGATATATATTAATTTTGATTTACTTCTATTTCATTTTCAATTTTTATTCTTCAACTGTGTAGTTCGAGTGAAGTTAGGGTTATTCCTAACTTTTTACCTGCATAAAGTTTTCTGCTTTTTATTTTAATTTAGCACTTTTCTTATGGTCTTGTTGTACCTGCCCTTTGGCTGTGACATGGTAGTGCATTTCTTGTATGTATCTGAGGTAACGTCTTTCTACAGTGGAGGAACAGCAGCCCTCTACACCACAACCCACCTCAACGACTACCAAGCCAGATTTCGGCCGATTTCTATCTGTCCCTGGAACTGGTAACCTTTCGCTTTGCTCTGCTCTCTCACCATTGATGGCTTGCATTCCCTACTGAGCTTTTGTTGTTTTCTCTCCTGTATAAGGCCATGATTAACTAGTGAAATAATAAATAAATAAATTACTTTCTATAAGGAAGTCCAGATGTTCTGGTAATTTTATCAGTTTTGTTTTTCAGATGTTTTACATGCAAAATGATCCCGCCTATATGGTTGTAATTCATTGTATATGGAATTATTGACAAATAAAGTAATCATTGCCTTAGTATGAAGATAATGCCTTTCTTTTGTTTTAACGTGTGTTTGTATGATATGTCTGCATTGTTTTATGAGAGACATACATTGCCAGTTTACTTCTATATTTGTTTAAAAAACTTAATAGGTATCCATTTTTTATTTTGATCCATTTTACTTAGCAACATCACTATTTTTTCTGGAGTGAATTGGTTTTATGTGTTTCTTGTAGGAAAATGCTCCATTGTTTTTTACTTAATTTACACATATAAGCAGCTGGAATGTGTTCAAATTGCTGTTTTTAACATGATTTGCATTCCCTGTTTCCTGCATGACAGTACCCTTTTGTGAGAGAGGATTACTTTTATTGTACCATTTTTGCCCCTCTCTCTCTATATATTTGATGTGCTATTTTTTATACATAATATAGAATAGAAGTCAATGTTTTATGTGAAATAACTAGATTAATAACCATGGGTTAGCTGATGGTATGTGTCTGTAGCTAAGTTAGTTTCCCAAGCTGCTTTAATTTTTATTTATTAATTTTTTTGTAATTGGGGAAAAAAAGACCACCATAGAAGTATATTGATTGAGATGTAGGAATTTTTGGTTTAATCTTCATATGTAATGAAATTCCACTTCACAATACCTGAAAAATTTATCCCTGTAATAATTAGTAAATGTGAGTCTTCAGAATATTAAAGAGCAGTTTCATGCAATTTTCTCAAAGCTACTGACTTCTCCCCATAAAAATATTTGAGTTGTATACTGTATGTAAAATTATTTAGCTTGAAAACATCTCGATGATATGCTAGTGATAAATTAGTTTTTAGCTAGTATCAAATACTTAATAATTTGTAATAAGTCCACAAGATCTTAAGGATAAAAAAATCCTTCTCTCTTCAAGTGAGTGTGTTCCAAATACATCTTGTTAAATGACTTAAACATTCATGATTTATTAACAATGTTTCAATTATTTCAGGAACTACAAGTTCGAGTTCCCCATCGCAGACAGGAATGGTGCAGAGCCAGAGCTCAGTTTCCATCAAGTCCATCAATCGCAATCAAAGTTCATCTGCCTTGGGCGATATGAATGGGGATGGATCACAGCACAAGGTACGAAGCAGCTGGATACAGAGCCACTAACGTCACCAGATCTGTATGTAGCCAGCATCAGGGTCGTGTTTGGTGATAATTTTGAGTGGGTAGTTTATTCATTAAAAGATTTTTTTTTTTTTTTCAAATTGTCACTTTTATCATTCAGTTTGTCATCAAGTTGTTATCACATTTATTGGTCATCTCATTATGCAATGCAGAAACAATTCTTGCTTTGCTTTTTTTAAATAAACTCATTGAGCAAGTTTTGCAAATCGATTTCGTAGGTCATGTCACTACAAACATATAAAATTGCAATACTGTTGTGTCGATATTGCAAGATAGTTCATTGCATATACGTATGTTTTGAGTTGACGCAACACCAAGAAACTTAATTCATTTGCGGAATTTGATGTTTATGAAATATTTTTCTCACTCCAAATTCCAAGCGTGTATTTTGCCCATAAGATGTCAAGGCATCAAATGTTTTTCTCAAATGAGCAAATCATAGTTCTTTTAATCAACAGCTATGGAAATATACCAGCTGAATGAGTAATTTAAATTAACCCCTTCACAAACCTAATAGGGTGAGTCATATCGCATAAAAATTAAATTTGTGTAACTTTTTAAACATGGCTGTTTCATTTAGCTGGAATTAAGTTATTGTTTAACT